GTATTCACATAGAGGCATTTAAGGTGGGCCCCTGATGAAGCTGGCTTGTGGACTGGAGCATCTAGAATTTCCCTGTTTTGCTTGCCAGTTGTTTTCTTGGTGAGCAGTATTTCTTCTCCAGGCTCCGCGCATTTCTTGGTGTCCCTACCGGTTTTGCCCCCATCCCCCTTCCAAAGTAGTTTAAAGCCTTATCAATGGGCCCTGCCAATCTGTGGGCTAGAATCCTTTTTACTGTCTGAGACAGCTTTTCCTGTCTGAGGCAGCTTTTCCTTTCAGTGTGATGAATACGTAAAATTCCAACTAATGAATGTCAAATCAGTCAAGTTCAGCTGAGAAGTAAAAGTGAAATTCCCTCCGACTCACAAGGGCTAGAGTAGGCCTCTGCTAATTAAATCCCACTTTGACTCTATTTTGTTTGATTAAGTGGGATTTAAGTGGCGCTCAAGGTTTGTCCTAGGCTGGTGCACAGTGAGTTTACTTCTTGCCAGATACATGCTGGCTAGCTACAGCAGTGACCATAAGTTACCACTTCTGATACCTATCTTAAAGAAAGGAAATACGTGAATTGTAGTTGTGTTGTCATTTATTCTGGAGGGAATTATTAGTTTTGTTCTGGAGGATGTGGTTTGGGTTGATTGAGGGGTTTTTTTCATTCAGTTTTCATTGTCATCTTCATTGACAGAGAGGCAACCATTTGCTTATTCTAAAAATATATTGAAAATTGAAAGTCTGCCTTTATGAGGAGACTAATGGAGGGCCTAAAACCTAGCAGGTCACTGTAAACAGGAAATTAAGAGTGCTCAGAATTTGAAGAGGCCTGTAGAAAAGATGCTCAAACTAATAGTAGAATGTACTTGAAATACATCAAAAGCAGGAAACTAGCTAGGGAGTCAGTGGGACTACCTAATAGTGCAAGTGTGAAAGGGAACTATGACAGTGAAGTTCAGTGACATATTTGTGTTGGCCTTTCCAGCTGCAATGTTGCATGAGTTCTCATACCTTGCACATTCCTTACAGCAGAGATGTCAGAGAAGCTGGATCAGGTTGATGGGAATATACACGAATGTAAGAGTAAATAGATGCCAACAGGTGTCTAGAGTGGCAGTCATGAGATTCCTGGAATAACGCAATTGGGAAATTACAGAACTGTTTGCCATGGTACGTAAGCTGTTGTCTCAAACAGCCACTCTGCCAGAGAACTGGCAGAATGCAGTGGAAAAGGGGGTCTTTTCCTGTCTGTGGAAAAGGGGATCTTTAGGGGATCCTTTGAACTACGGAATCTAGATTTCCTTTTCTGGTGCCATAATAGCCAATAAAATCAGATCCCTGATCTTGCGTAAGCATGGGCTATTGGGAGAGAGTCAGCATGGCTTCAGTTGTGTCCTGAGCAAAGATGTTCTGGTGGACACAGAAGTTTGACAAAGTTCCACATTACAGTGTATTCAAGAAACTACATTCACACAGAACTAGAAGAACAATGTTTACAGCTTGAAAGCTGGTTAAAGGATTGGAAGGAAAATGGTCATCTTTGAGGACAGAGAGGAGTGAGAAGTATGGTTTTCCAAGGAATGATGCTGGGTTTAGTTTTTTCAACATTTTCATCAATGGCATGAGGAAAAGAGAGATCTTTTCCTGAGATCTCCAGCTCTGCAGGTGACATTAAGCTACTCTGGTCAACCAAATGTTGCCTCATTGGGCAAGAAATTCACAAAATTGAGTGATTGGGCAAGACATTAGCCACTAAACTCTGATGTGAGGAATTGTAAGGGAGTATAGGTGCGGAAAATAGCCTGAACTATTCCTATGAGATACTGAACTTGCAACTGGTGGTCATAGAGGTGGAGAAGAATCATAGTGTCATTGGTTACTATAGTCTGAAATTACTAGCTCTGTGAGAATAGCAGGGAAAAAAAGCCAAAACCTGATGGCAGTTGTCAGAAGAGAGGGTATAATTTTTCCCAGTTTTGGAATTGTGATGTACTCAGAGCTTGAGCATTGCGTTCACTTACAGTTGCTGTGTCCTCTTTAACGATGTGCTGGAATTGCACTGTAATGCATTAAAAAAAGTTAAATAAAGGAGCAAGGAAGTACACCAGGTGCCTTATGAGATGAGACGGAAGATGTTAATACTTCAGACTGGAGAGGAAGAGGCTCAGCTGAGCATGATTAATGTTTAAAAAATCCTGAGGGTGACGGGTAAACTGCACATGGAGCTCTTGTTCTTAAAATCCTGCAGTACAATGAACAGGTCATCCTTGATAACATAGTATGGAAGTTATTTTAAAATACATAGAAGTTGCATGTTAGACAGATGGTCATGAGGTTCTGAAGCTTGTTTCTAGAAGAGGTAGTATCAGAAGGTTTGAGAAGCAACTAGACAAATTCATGGAAAACAAGTCCATACATAGATAATAAAAGGACTGAGGGGAAAAAAAAAAAAAAAGAAGTTTTGGCTTCTGGAGGAGTAAAAGGAGAATGGATTGCAGAAAGTATAGCCAAGTGTACAAAGTCTACCCAAACAGCATCTCTTCTTGCCTTTCCCAAATATGGTAATAGATCCTGGGCTTGGGGTTGTCTGACCTAGTGGGACATTTTTTATGTTCTTAGGTCATGTCTAACAAAAGAAAGTAGTGTTGATAATTAAATTCACACACACATCCCCCACATTGTATGCTACAGTAGCACTGGAGAATCATATGTTTGGAGAGATGCTGGCAAGGGTATATATGTTTAAGAGAGAAGGCACGGTTGTATATACCCAGCTATTTTAGAACACAAATTATTATTGGCTTAGTTCTGCAAATGGAAAAGGGGGAACTACATGTCATGGTAAGCCTAAACCAGCAGCTTCATGGTAGTCCACTAGGGTACACTGCAAAGGTGTTAGTGTTTCAGGGCTTCATTACACTGGGGAGAAACAGTTCCATGTGTAGCAGCCGGTTCCCCAGAAGCATGCACAACCACTCACAAAAATGGTCACTACTGTCTGTTCTGTGGCTGCTCACAAATACTCTGAGTATCTACATGAAATGTGACAGATTAACTTTTAACATATATGCTGTAAACTAATCACCAATAAATACAGGCAAGAAAAAATCATGAGCTTTCTAAACAAATGTGTTTTAACCTACATGTATATCAAAGTGTTCATTTATTGTTAGGATCTCACACTAGCAACATTTAAAAAAATAGTTTACTGGTTTTATTTTCTTTTTAAATTTCAGCAATCTTCTGAAGGAAAATAGTTTGGTCTCTGGGCTAGGTACAAGGCTAAAATTTTCATGATGCCCTAATTCTCATCACTAATTTGATCCAAAATAGGTTTTCTGGGATTTCAAACAATGAACTTTCAAAAGCCTATCCTCTGTGGCAGTGTCATCAAAAATGAAAGATGTTTCAGAAAAATGGAAAGTTTTGGGAAAAAAAAGGTTAAATTAAAAAGATGAGACTACATTTGCTAGTTGAAAGTAATGGCCACAATGAGAAGAGGAGTTTCATTAGCTTGAAACTCAAAAGAACTTAAGACTTAGAAAATGATGATGAAAATATCAAATCTCAAAATAAAAAAGTAAAAGTGAAGGGACTGAGACTACACCATTCAAGTCAGTAAGGGTTTTTCTATTCGCTTGAATGGAAGCAGTATCCATTCCCTGAAAACTTCTGTTATCAATTACTTGAAACAATCTCCAAATTTCCAACAATTTCCCAGGGTCAAGAAGAATGTACTGTGAAAGAAATCCCTGAACCTAAAGAAGTGTATGTCATAAAAATGTAAACGGTACTGACCCACACAGCATAATGGAGCCTCTTAGTACTGCCACAGAAAACGAGGACTTGTTTTGCACTGGGAGCTGCTTCTAATTTTCTGGAAAAAGAGCTTGCTTTGAAGTATTGTAAGCTCAACATTTTTGGCAGGTCACTTGAGGAAGTGCTGGTATGCATTTAGGTGTCTCATGCATCTACTCACTGGTACTCTGTTAGCTTTAATGAGCACATACATACTTGTCAAAATAGACCTTGAACTCAAAAACTTAAACTAGGCACTTACAGAAACGTGTCCTGTCTGCTCTGCTGCTTCTAAACAGTCTTTTATCATTGGTAGATGATATAAGTGAGCCTGACACCAAATAGGGGTCAGATACAGTTTCAGGAAACTGTCGTATCCTTCTTCATGTCATTAATAATAGAAGGAGCATGCACAGCCAGGAAGCAGAAGCTGGGGCTGTTTCCGTTATTACTCTACGGTATAGAAACATGGACTTCTCTGTTTTGCCAAACAATAACCATCCCGATAAATACCTGCAACTGGAGGTGAAGTCTTTAGTGAAAAACTCTGCCTTTCTACAAGCCAACCTGGCAAAATTCCCAGAAGCAGCTTTACCTGGGATGCAGCAGTGGCACAACAGGGTCTATTTACAGGTAAGGTCTAAAAGAAGCTGACATTTTCCCTGATTTTTGTACCTCATTTTTGGGATCAAGAGACAAATGAAATGAGATTAAGACTGCAGCTATGGATTGAGCTTCCTGCAGCTCTGAATCTGCATCACTAATATCCCTGTAAGTTTTCTTATTGACTTCAGCGAAGATCAAGCCTCAGGAGAAGAGCTAACTCTCTTCTTCTGAAAGGGCAGTATGCTGACTTTATTTCCATACATTAGGCTTTCTTCTGCTCATTGTAACATTTTCATTGCATTTCCCGGAACATTTATTGATATCTAATACCAATTCATTGTACTAAAGGGGCAAATCGAATGCCATCTCTGAAGAAATTTTTAAAAATTTTTAAAAAAGGTTTAAATCTGAATGCCAAGTCATATCCCTCAAACCCAATGAAAAGGCACATTACAGAATGCATCAGAGATTCTTGCTAGTGCCTCACAGGCTTAGGTAAGTCTAACCTGTTCACGCTAGCTTTCACTTTATTTTGTCTTGGTTTTCTCCTTCTACTTTGACTTTCCTGTTATCCTGACAGACAGCTGTTGAAAGCATGAAACACACTGACTGTGTTAATCCAAATTATTATCTAGAGATAGCAGCAGTTTCTTGATTAAAACGTAAATGTGTGCTGCCTAGCAGAGGCCTTGAAGCCCATGGAGAAGTTGTTCATGGCTGGATTAGCAGCAGTACTGCTGCATCAGTTTACACCCTCTGGGCCCCATTTGCTGCTCCACAGTGCTCCTTTCCTGCTGCCCAGGGAGCCCCTCACCTTTCCCCGCCCCTAGGATGAGCAAAAGCTCCAAGATCTGGTTCTTGTCAAGGGATGGAGACACACATAAGTGGGTGGGGGTGGGGGTGCAGGGGATGGAGAAGGGTCCTTAGGGTGGGGGTCCAATTCCCCAAGGTAATAAGGAGTGGGAGTTGAAAAAACATCAACCTGGGGAAGGGGGTGAGGGGAAGAGGAAGATCCTTAAAGCCTCACACAGCTACTTCCAGTTGCATTTCTTCCCTGTCAGACATTTCTTCCCAACAGCTCCCCAAAGCCCTTTACTCCTTTCCCAGTGTCTGTTCCAGTCCTCATCCCCACAAAAAAGTCCTCCCCCTCCTACCACCTTCTTCCATGATACCCCCTTACCTTCCCTAGGCTCTTCCCCACCCTAGCTACTCTCCCTCTGCCTACCCCAATGCCTCTGCTCATACTGTATTGTCATTTCTGGCAATTCCCCAAGGAGAGTTGGGAGGGGAGGACGCGCAGTCGCCTGTTGTTGTTTTCTCCCATGCAAAGAGACCTAACCAAGAGAAGGAGCCTGCAGGATCCCTAACAGTGGGGTATGGCGCAATGCTGGCCTCACTCCCCACCCCACCTCTTCTGTGCAGGAGGGAGGCAGCCACACACAGAGCGTCTTCCACAGCGGGGATGCTTTTCCCTATTGTCATTTAACAGGACACACTGTCACCAAGCCAGGGCTGCAGAGCTGCAGGAGGATTAAAAATGTGTGGGGAGCAGTGTGCTTTTTCGACTTGTGCTCTACCCTTTGCCACCAGTGAGAGGATTTTTCTGGAACTCTGTTCTGAGCCCCTGGAAGGCCGTTTAAAAGAAAATGTCTGTGCTCACCACATCTCCAGAAATGCAGTTTGCAATGCGGTAGGTTTTATAAATGTTAAACCTAGTGCTCAACTTATACTTTTAAGAGTAGTCATTACTGAATTCAAGCTGTACAGATAAAATTTGTTGTGTCTTATTCTCTCTCCCTTATGAGCTCGCCTCCTTTTTTCCCTTCTGCTGACAATCAAATAAAGGGAAAAGAACTGATGAGTTCCAGATGTTAGAATAAACACAATGGCACAATGGAGAACTAATGGTGCAGGAATAACATGTTTTACTTTAAAATGAGAGAGCTAATGGGGTTAAGGGTTTGTTAATTCAGAAATGGAAGTGGGGGGCCAGGGCAGGAATGAGGAAGGAGAACTCATTTCACAAGGTATGTGTGTGATCTACAGACTCTCCAAGTCATGCAACCTTGAGAGGAGCCAAAATTACCTATTCAGAAATTAATTTTCTTTTAAGAAACTGTTGCTACTCAGGGCTACCTGTGTGAAGTAACTACTCAGTGGTGTGTTTACGGTGTCTTCCGGTTCTTTATTATGAGATCAGTTAAATTCAAGCACACTTAAAGCACTTATGTGTTTCCTCCACCTATAAATTTTTAATTTATTTCCATTATAAAAAGCAGCCTGACATAACCACAATTCCTAGTTCTGACCGAAAAGTTGCTGCTTTCTCCTTACTTTCCTCTTCTTTATAAGGCAACCTGAACAGCTTCTCTGCTTAGCATATATTTTTATTGTCTATTTTGAATAAAACAAACTATAAAGCAGTCCATGAATTTTGAATCTTCCTTCTGAAAACCAGCATAAAAAGCACAGACTGTTTCCCCTGCAAATGGCTAGCTACTGACTGCACTCTGATTGCCCTGAAAATTTCCAGTGCCACTAGACTCTCTGCCTTACAATATGTTTTAGGGTTCAGCATGCACCAGATGATTATCTCCTATATCTGCTTCTGACAGCTGGGTTGCATGCAGTCCATTTGGTCTTTTTCTGCAATTCGCAGACTTGTCTTTTCTGCTTGCATTTCATTTTTTCCCCCTTATTTCTGGCAGACAGCAGAGGGCATTTGGTCTTGGAACACTCTGCTACTTACTGTCATGCTGCTCTGGCTTAGGAATTCACAACTCCAAACAAATTTTGACCTGCAGGTATTACATTTATTATGCTAACTGCACTCCTAACCCATCTGGTCTCTCACCTGAACTAATGCCTGTGTCCTGCCTTTGCTTGTTTCTCAGTGCACCAGAACGTTTCTTTTGCCTATAATCACTTGTTTGTCTCCTGGCTCAGATGTGCATTACGTACTTCCACTCTCCCTTATTCTTCCCTAGACATCCGCAAATAACCACAGTCAGAGCCAGCTGCAAGGTGTGCAGGAGCTTGTAGTCTGACACTGTACAGAAGTTTTTATACAATGCAATCGCAGCTCTGCAGAACTCCACTACCAATGGCAGATAAATCAGGTTTCCTCAAGTAAACAATTCATTACAAGGGCAGAAGTACTTTCCATGCTGCACAATTAAAATAGTGTGTATGAATGCTTACTTTTCACTAAATATTCCTGTCGTTTCAGCTTAAGTGTTCATAATTGTCTACTGATCTCCTTCCAGTACATGGCAGGTAGCTTTCCAGGTTGCTTTGTAGTACCTGATGCTGCATTATGCCTCTGATTGATCCCCTTCAGTTCCTTCTATAAGAGAACTTGCATTCTCAGGAAAACTTGATGTGACCTGTTTGTTCTAATGTCTTTTAGACCTGCTTACCTTCCTTCAATTGGTCCTTGCCTTCCTGATTGCTTTTTGCACAGCATCCCCTCTGAGATCAGATTTGTTTAAGAAATTCTTAGGAGCTAAAAATTATTTATCTTGATAAACGAGCTTTTTTAAGTGACCAAATGCTGAGCAATACCTATGCAGTTTTTACAACTATCACAGAGATTCTTCGGTTTCTACCTAGCATCTTTTTGTCTGTCAGACCTTTTGTCTGTCTCAGAAACAGGTCTCTACACCAGAAAAAATGCCCTTCCAAGTGCTGTGAAATTCTTCCAGGATGTGTTACAAGGTTTTTGCGCAAAGGAAGTTTAGAGTCTTAAATAAATGACATGCAGTCTAATAACCACCCTGCTATCCACTTTCGTTAGGATCAAGGGGTTTGTTACGAATCAAATCTTGCAGTACCCAGTATCCATAATTTTCTTCAAGACTCCCTTGGTTAAAACTTCTAAGCATAACTGCCCATTGACATTTGTCACTTTCATTGAGTCTCTTCCGTGGCTGCTGCAGCCGGAGACTGAGGCTGGGCGTGGGACAAGAGGAACTAACTTTCTTTGGGGAAATAAATAAAAAGTGACTTGCAGGCAGTAAATTTCCTTAGGTTTTTTAGGTGTCTCTTTGATCTCATCTTGCAGGTAGATGGGCTTGAGAGTCTAGCCTTAACGGTTGACATTGTGGTTTTGGCGGGTGATTAGTTTGATGTCTTATGTCCTTTAGGAAGAACAGTTAGACTCTCAAGTTGTTTCAGTACTAACAACGACAACAGTGGGAACAAAAGGATGGTCAAGATAAAAATTAGATTAAAATGTTTCCTAACAATATAGATTAATTTCTAATTTTTACTTATATATATCGTAATGTACCCATATGCATAATTTACAGTATGAAATAAACAGGAAAAAACCAACAGCTGTGGACTAAACAAGTTTTGACCCAGGAATAGAACTAACATTGACTATAAATCTTCAGGCTTTTTACAGAACCATCTTTTTATACATACAAGTTCTCTGAGTTTGTCAAATGTAGACCAAAGACAGTTATATGTTTACAAGGCTGAGCATTTTTCATCTTGTTAAATGAGTATTTGTCAACACATTTCAACTACAGTTTCTCAAAGTTCTTCAGAAATATTGCTGCTTTGAGTATTTGCTGTTTCCTCCTTCCAGTCAGTGAGCAATAACACAAATTGCCTGCTACGAGCTCTGATTTGATCTGTTCCACCTTCATTCAACTGGCTTCTTAGCCACAATGTATATCATGTAAATTCTGTAACATATAAGGATACCTACGTTTACAATGCTTTCATCTTTCTTTGAAGGTTTGCTTAATGGATCAGAATCAAAACACAGAAGTCTGTGAAAACTGTTGGGAGATGTTTTGGATCTTAAAAGAAAAAAATATGTAATTTTTGCTAGAATTAATACCGGCAGGCGTATTGTTATTACCTGATCTTCTGTTTCTCTGCTTCTATAGGTGCCTATGTTTCATGCAATCATCTTCATATTTGTCTGTATAATTTCTTGGACCTCTTTTTTTCTTTTTTTTGGACATATATATTCTGCAGAAGTTTCACAACCAAGCATTTGACTGCACAAAAGTGTATTCTCATGATTAGCTTGGCATTTCAACATCTGTTCTCTATAACTTTCGCAAACTATCTCCTACCTGAAATTCCAGTACTGTTCTCTGTTGCCCCTCACATCCTATTCCCTCTCTACCTCTGCTCTTGGCTACCACATTCTCCTGTTCACATGCCTGTGAAAAGGAAGGTACTCCAGACAGAAGGGGCAAAAGGTTTTGCCACAAAGCACTCTCTTTATGAACAAATCTTGCATCCTGCCATCTGTTCCAAGTTTTAGAGCATTTTATTTAAAACAGCTTTAGAGATTACTGTCAAGTCACATTCTTTTCACATTTTAGCCTAGGGAGACTGAGCATCCCCTGTTGAAACAGTTCGCATTCTTCAACAAAATCTTCTCCAAGTTCAACTATCTAGCAAACCCGAGGGAAGCATCATTAAGGTCAATGAAAAATTTTAAATGAGAAATAAATAAATTTTAAAATAAAATAAAAGAAAAGAAAA